AAATTGACCTCATACTCTGGTTAACAATAAAAGGCATCATTTACAGCCTTTTAACATTTTATTTAAATAAATGAGAAAATAGCAGGTAGATTAACCAGTACTGAAAATGATCACTAACAGCTGGCCCAAGCACTAATTTTCATATGCAGGTAACCTTTCAATTTTTTAGATGATAGCTCATTTCTGCTTTGATTTCCATGAATTTACATTTTGCCATGTAAGGTCCTGTGTGTTCTGAATCTTCATCCTATTGTTCCATCCAGGAACAGACTCAGACTGTGACTTCCATCATGTAAATTGCCAGTTTGCACCTGTGTCCTTTCACAGTCATGGAGTCTATATTGAGGGGCACATATTAAAAGATAAGACTCTCCTTTCAGAACAAACAGAATGAGTTGCATAACATATGAGTTCACAGTCCACACTGTTGTTGCTCCAAAACAATTGAATAGTTAAAATGTTACAAAGTTGACCAATTTAGATATTTATACCTTACATTTTATACCGTAGTCCCAAACTCTTTATGATGAGTCTCTTGCATCTATTACTAATACACAATATTTTTTCTCTATTCCTTTCAGCCCCCTTTCGTCCTCCAGACAGAGACAATATAGTCCGCTTTGATACTTTTGGAGACAGCCTGGGTCGTTACAACATTTTTCACTATCACAAAGACGGGGAACGCTATGTCTACCGTAAAGTCGGCTACTGGGCTCAAAGCCTGAGCCTGAACCACAGCCTGATTCCCTGGCCTGGTGATGTTGTGCCCACCTCCCAGTGTAGTGACCCCTGCAGGAAGAATGAGGTGAAGAGTATGCAGCCGGGAGATGTGTGCTGCTGGATCTGTATCCCCTGTCAGCCCTACCAGTACTTGCATGATGAGTTTACCTGTGCTGACTGCAGTTTTGGACAGTGGCCCCTGGCCAACCTGACAGGCTGTTATGATCTGCCTGAGGAATACATCCGCTGGGAAGATGCTTGGGCCATTGGCCCTGTCACCATTGCATGTCTAGGGATCATGTGTACACTCTTTGTTATTGGCCTCTTCCTTAAACACAATGAGACACCAGTAGTGAAGGCTAGTGGACGTGAGCTCTCCTATATTCTTCTGCTTGGAGTGCTGATGTGCTATTGCATGACATTCATCTACATCGCCAAACCTTCCACAGCTGTGTGCACGCTACGCCGGCTAGGCTTAGGCACCTCTTTTGCCGTTTGCTACTCAGCCCTCTTAACCAAGACCAATCGCATTGCTCGGATCTTCAGTGGAGTGAAGGATGGAGCCCAGAGGCCTCGTTTTATCAGCCCAGCTTCCCAGGTTGCCATCTGTGGTGCTCTGATCTCTTGCCAGCTGGTAGTGGTGGTGGTCTGGCTGCTGGTGGAGACCCCAGGGGTGAGGAAGGAAGTGAACCCAGAGAGGAGAGATGTGGTCACCCTGAAGTGTAACAGCAAGGACTCCAGCATGCTCATGTCTCTCACTTATAACTGCATCCTCATTATCCTCTGCACAGTCTACGCCTTCAAAACCCGCAAATGCCCCGAGAACTTCAATGAGGCCAAGTTCATCGGCTTTACCATGTACACCACCTGCATCATCTGGCTGGCTTTCCAGCCCATTTTCTATGTTACTGCCAGTGACTACAGGGTGAGTTAACTGAGCTTATACCTGCTCCTCGAGCAGGCACACACAGCTCTTTTAATGGAAGTTGGGGAATGCACAGACTTCTTACTATCACTGACTGTTAATTAATTCTTCTCTAAATCACACACACACGGGATGATAATCATTTGCAATAAATTATTTATTCAGATGGCTTTAGATTTCTATAGTCTGACCAGAATACATCCTTGTAGATAATGATAATTTTTTCTGGGCTTGAATTTGAATTTTATATGCAATGCCAGTTAATATTGATTCAGTTGTCAGCAATATCTGCATTGCCTGTGGCTCCCAACAATATGTATTCTTTATTACAGTTGCTTCAATTTTTTATGATTATCAGCACACTTTCACTACCTTATTTTACCTCTAATGTTTAAATAATAATGTGGGGAGTGAGAGCAACCCATTAATGAGACTATGCACCTCATGTAAAACTTTAACAGAACTTCAAAGATAGAAGTCTTTTCCCTCTCTGGGGAAAATGTGCTGTGCGCTATGGTTTTGGTTACATTGTTTTCACTCTCTTTTTATACACTACTTATGATTAAATGAAATAACTGGCAGGCAGACAGCCAGCCAGACATCTGCTGAATAGGATCATACACTGAACTGATAGAATTTCAGAGAAAAGGTGGTCTGAGTTGTGTGGGTTCATCCCACTGGGATCTGAACAACGTGCAATGAGACAGAGGCAGAAGGGAGAAAGACAGCGGAACCTCCTGACACAGCTGCCTCTACAGAAACATGGTGAAGACAGGCTAGACCATGAGGGCTGCTAGGGAACTGAAAGTCCCTGTGAGTCCCTGTGCGTAGCTGTGTGGAATGGAGTGTGAAAGACTGGGCTGCTGAGTCCCAGCTGTGCTTTCTGTCTTGGGACTGTAGTGAGGCTCAGAGGAACCCTTCCTCCAGGCCCTGTAGGCAACGCAATTCGCAGCCTGAACAGACTCATCAGATAGACGCAAATCTCCCCTTTGACCGATGAATAATTACTGAAGCAACTGAGTTGGCACAGTGTCTCTAGTTTTTCACAGGCAGGGACACATTACCAGCGTTCTCCTTGCTTTACACTTCTTCTCAAATTGTTGTCACAGCCTGATGCAAACCTCCAGCTGAATAACAAATACAGATCTGTACTAGGCAGTCATGAAATGTTAAACTAAGCTAAATACAATCTACTGAGCCGTGAATAACACGTTTGATTACCAAATGAAATATTTAAGACGCTCTCCACACCGCTGGGGGAAGAGGGCTCCTCTCTTATGCCAGTGCTGGTCATCTCAGCAGCAAATGCAAGCTAATTAAATAGCTACTACTGTTAAAATTCAAAGTGCTTCTATGAAATCACCGAAGGCTACAGAAATTACTACTGCTTGTGAAGTCTATCAAGAAGTGTGTTTAGACAGATATTTCCTAAATTTGATTTCCTTCAGCTTCAAACTCCATCAGTTCGCTTCCACTTATCCCTTTCAGGGTCACAGGGGGCGCTGCAGCCTATCCCAGCTGTCTTAGGGCGAGAGGCAGGGTACACCTGCCTTCAGCTAAAATTAGTGTAACACCACTAAATATATAGTAACCATATAGATATATAGGTAGACACAATCAGACTAAGCAAGAGGTGAACCACAAATTCCTTGAAAACCAAATGCATAGCAAGTAACTGTTCACTGTCCAAAGTTTAAAGTTCAGCAGTTTGAAAAACAAACAAAAAAACCCTCTCTCGACATCTAAATATCAAATAAATCTTAAACTGATCTTTAAATTACTTGTGATTTTAGCAAATTCGGCATCCATGCCAGACTTGGAAGACTCCAGTAAAGCTTTTCAATAAACGCACAGTAAAACCTGCAATAAAAAGGAGGAATTTCATCTCTCATCTCAGAGGGTCTCTGTAGGGATTAAGTTAACTGAACACAGACACAGAGACAATGCTGTATTTGTGCAACAAAAACAGCACCATCAAAGGTCAATACAGCGAAAAATAAGGTTGAAGAGAGACTGTAGCAGCCATGCTCTATATCCACACTCCAGAATATAACACATCTGGGGAAATATAAGGGGAAAAGCAGATTCCTTGTCCTCTTCTTCTTTGTGCTCTTTCACTCCAACATATTGTGAATTATTAAAACCACTTAACAGGTTATTTCTATGCAGTATTGTCCATGGTGTTATTCAAAACCAAAAGTATTTAGCCTTTGTCCGCGTTGGGATTGGTGAGATTATTATTTTTAAACAGCCGCCATGCATCCGTACATTACACTTACTCCATGCTTTCAAAACTACAGCTTAGAAATATAGTGAAAAAATGGGAATCTGAGGGTTTGTGAATTTACATTACAACACAGCACCTGAGCCTGTCAGTGTGCACTGTATTTCAAAGATGGTGTGAGGAGAATCTTAATGTTGAATTCACTGCAGATGGCAACTTAGAAAACTCGATGCAACTAAAGGTCAGTTTAGTGATATAGCTGTTTCACACTACATGGTACATGACCACACATAGTGATAACCACTATGTTTCCAAAGTGTGAAATACAGTATACATATCAATAATGTCCTGTAGATATTTTTCTTGATTAGTCATAAAATCTATATTCAAGTCATGAATTTACAGAGAGAGTAAGAAACCGACGCAGTAATTAAACAATATTCAAAATAAACCAGGTAAACTGACGCTGTGCCAGTTACATCTCTGTCTCAACTCGCATAGCTTTTTCTGTGGAGCTGTCAGTGCACAGAATCACACTTGGTACCCACAATATTTTAATACCGACATTAGCATTCAGGTTGATGACAGACACCTGCTGCGTCTTGCGAAAAAGAAATGCACCTGCCATGTTGCTGTGTTATATCTTCTCACTGAAAAAAACTAAAAAGACGACCGTGAAAGCGTTGGAAAGCAAGAAGCAGACTGAGGATGCATAGCAAGATGTGGGCAGGGTGAGCCGAAAAGGAGCGAGGGTTACGCAGTTGATTGACAAGCAAATAAACAGATCGCTTAACACCTCTAGTTAGAAATCCCAGCTGATAAACAATCCCCTTCCTCCTCTGTAGCACCTGGCTTTGATTCTGAATTATGAAAGACGTACTTATCATTTCTTTTCTGACTTCAGGGGGGTTTTTTTTGTTCAGAATGAATACTCTTGAGCTGCAAAAATGGTCCTCCATATACAGAGTTAGCAACTTTCGGGCATTTTCAACCACAGGTGTGAAATTAAGAGTAGCACTTATGAGGTATACGGGAATTCCCTCAATGCTTGGCAATCTAGAAATGTGACTTTACTTTTCTCTTACTGTGCATATTTTTGTACCTCTGAAACACAACAGTTTGGAGTTTTACCTTTTGTTTCCTCCTCCAGGTACAGACCACTACCATGTGTATCTCGGTCAGTCTCAGTGGGTCGGTGGTACTGGGTTGCCTCTTTGCTCCCAAGATCCACATCATCCTGTTCCAGCCACAGAAGAATGTCAGTACACTCAGGGTGAACACCACCCGCTTCAGTGTAAACACTGGCCCCGGCTCCAGTTTTTCTCAAGGTACCACCCAAGATACAGCAAAACTCGTGAAACTGAAACAAATATTAAATAATAATAATACAATTGATATTATTATGAAAATATTGCTACATGCTTTATCACTGTGTCACACTTGTCTGTCTGACACTGGGAGTTATACATAACCTTTTTTTTGTCTTTTTTAAGTCATTCATAATAAAAAAAAAAAATAAAAAAAAACCCTTTTAAAATACCAAAAATGGCCCCATACAATCCCTGATGGTGCAGACCTGGTGTAGCCAAAAATAAATTAATAAGTTTAATAAGTAAATAAAAAATCCAAGTCTGTTTATTTAGAACATTTCTATAAGATTTGAACAGAATTGTTGTGTGTTATTATGATAATTAAGTGAAAATACAGTACTTCAATATACATATCATAAGTAGAAAAAACCAAGCTGCATTGCATTCCACATCATCCATGAGTTAATTATCATGCTTCAAAGGGGCATCTGGGACCCAGGTGCCCCTTTGGGTTACAGTAATTTTGGCTTATATCACAAACTGTAACTACACTGCTGACATTACACAAAATATCCTATTTTTTATGTTTTGCAGCAACGGCCTCCAATGTTGTTCCAACAGTGTGTAATGGACGAGAGGTGGTGGACTCCACAACATCCTCTTTGTGAAGATCAGCTGAGTTATATTTTATTTTATTTTTCGCCAAGCATTGTAAACAAAGTTATATAATCACTAGTCCTGAGTCAGGTGTCTCAGATATCGAAGAGGTCACACAGATGATCGTCCTGACTTTGTTGTCCTCAAAGTGCTGTGAGTACAATGTCCCGATTATTTTCTTTTGTTCTTTTACTCGTAGCATATTTTAAATGAGATGCCAATAAAGTCGCATATAGCCCTTGTTTTTGAGGATTTTACTTGCAACAATGGAGTAAATTATAGTAAATCTGTTAAATGTAATATATACAAGACGTTTTTAATGTAGATTCTGGTGAACCAGTTTGTGCTTTCTTGTAATTTATGTAAATAAAATGTGTTTTTTATTAAAACTGAAATGATTCAAAGTCTGTTCCTTTACACATCATATTGAGATTCATATTGTAGAGGGTAACATATGCAAAAATATATTGCCAATAATCTAAAAATGTGAAATAAACCTTCAATTTTCAGTAGCCAAATCAGTAAAATATACTGTAAATCTGCTGTCATGTTATGTTATAACATGAAATTTTCACCCTTGGCAAGTGCAGGATTCATCTAAATGCAAAATACACATATGCAGTGTTTTTGCACTGTGCCTCTCATTTCCCCTAACTCCAGTAATTTATTCACAGGCCTATGCAAAGCACTGATGTGACCAGAAGAACATTTTGGGACTCAGTGTCTTATTTATCTTCACACTTGGACAAAAGAAGCAACCCAGTAATGAATACAAAAGTCAACTTTCACAACTCTTTAAAATAATAGTGTGCAAATCAAACCTCCATCAGCTGGGATCTGAAATCTATGCTGCCCAAATTTTAACAGCTTAAATCTACACCATCTGCCTAGACCAAACAGCCACTGAAATGAGAATTACCTGCACAAATATCATCTGTTGACATGGGATAAAATTCACCAAAGCTGTCTTGGACCCGGCCCATACAGTATCAACGATTTAACACTGCCATCTTGTGTCCACATTTTTTTTTCATTTGACCAACATGCACGCAGCTTTGGGGTTTATCCAAATATAGAACATTTCCATATGAAGGAAGTCAATGAATAATTGCAGTTCTGCTTCAGTAGATCTGCTCACTGGACATCATCAAATTGCTGTTTTTACGTGGGACAGGCCAAACATGCTGTTCCTTACTGTGACAGACAGGCTCGCAATATATCAAGCATATTATCAAGACACAGACACAATTTTGTGGGGGTAATTAATTTTCGGCATTGCCTGATTGTGCAATACAGTTAATTGCAGCAATCCTGTTAAACTCTTGAACTGATAGTCTCACCCTCATGAGGAAAACCACCACTGTAAATGTAGCTCATTCATTTTAGTTCATCATGTTAGGCAGCTTTTAAGCAGTCTTTCTGGATTTTTATTAAGTTATGTTACAACTAAACTGCTTAAGAGACAAAGATTGTCCAATATGTTTGTCTAACCCTTGGACAAACACAAAGGTCACATGGTACCCTGCTGTCTGAACAATCCCTTTATTAGGTTGCTAGAAATAAACATGTATACATAGCATCTCATAGTATCTTATATTATGCATGCGATTAACTTATTAGAGCAGTTGAAAAGTGGCTGATGAGTTTAAACTGTACATTAATGAATTGTCACACACCACCACCACCAATTTCTCTTTCTCTGCAACCTATTCACTCCATAATTTTAGCATAAAATATGTATTAAAAGTTTTTAAAAAAATGACTGCAATAATTTTTTTATCGAGTTGCAGTAAGTGTAACGTGTTCAATCTCACACATTTAATGTCAAAATATACTGAACTGGAAACATCAGGTAATTAATATTTTTGCTTAGCAAGACTGTTTGCTAGAGTTTTTTTTTAAGTTAAGGGAGCTGTGAAAATGATATTATATAGCAATTTGCTACTACATAAAATTCTATGAATATAAAAATATTTAAGCTAATATATAAAATATATTTTCCATGAAAATCCGAAAAAGAAACGCACAGTTGTGAAGCTCCTACTGTTGTTAATCGTGGACCGGATGAAGGGAAAGCAACGTGATTAAACCTTTGAGAAAGTACCTCTGTTATATTATATAGCTATAGGTAGGGCACAGATAGTCACAGAACTTAAAAGACCAGTTCATTTTGGCCTTGGTCCTCGCTTAATCCACCTGTGAAAGGCACAAACGAGCCTCACACCGGACTCAGCTAGCTAGGTGGCAGTATAGCCGTTTGTTCGCTCCGTTGACTCCAGCAGCAGAAGAGGAGGGCAGAACTCAGCTCCAGCACTTCCGCGTTTTGTAAAGTGATTGTAAACTTACAGAAAATTATAGACACTCACTTACAGCCGGTGTTCTGCTTTGGTGACGAGGAACATCTTTGAGTCTGCTGTTAGCATCATTTATCGTTACAAGGTGAGTCCCGTACACAGGGAAATTCTTGTTGTTTTTATGATAAATAACAAGGGGCGGAACTGGTCCAGTGTCTGCGCTGCTTCAAAACATATCAAAACTACTGTTGCAGTGTCGGGTGTTGTTTTTACTAATGGCAGATAGTCTGTAATTATCGGTAACGGATGTGTGGGGAGTACTTCGGCTTGTTCTGATGAACAGTCAGAGATGGTTGCAGTGCAGGCATGCCTGAACTTGTCCAGTCATGATGTCCAGAGACCAAAGTGATAAGTTTGTGTACAGGCCTTTCAGTTAGGACCATGGCACCAAAGAGACGAGCTGCTTCTGCTGCCAAGGCTGGTGGAAAGAAGGTCAAACAAGAGCCTGAAACACCAAAAGCCAAAGATGCCTTTACCTCTGCAAAGGAAGCCCTGCTGGCTGCAGGGCCACAAGTAAAAAGCAACAAGAAGGTGGATGAACACTGTTCATTGTCATCTTGTGGAGAGGTAGGACACGTGAAGTAGGGCTTGTTAGTGCAGGAGCAGAAAGCTGATTTTGATAAATGTTCTCTAATGTCTTCACCAGGTGTATGAGGATTACGACTGCATGCTCAATCAGACAAATATCGGACATAACAACAATAAGTTTTATGTCATCCAAGTTGTTAAAACAAACAAGAAGTACTATTCATGGAACAGATGGGGCAGAGTGGTGAGTTTGTTCTACTGTTTTTTTTAAATGCATTTTGTTCTGTTAATTCATGTACCCACCCACACTATGTGTATATATATTTATACATATATATTTATGTGTATAGAGAGAGCGTTAGATAGATAGATTCTTTTTCTAAAGGGCTTAGGGGGGAAAAGCAGACATTATTGATTTTTAACCCCTTATTGCTGTGTGTTGACATATTAGCATCACTGTTAGTGCTTCATTTCTAATCTGGTTTCAGGGGGAAGTCGGACAGAGTAAACTTAGTTCGCCCTTTGATAAGGCTGAAAATGCTGTCAAGGACTTTGAGAAGAAGTTTAAGGACAAGACAAAGAACAACTGGAGCGACCGAATGAATTTTGTCTCTCACCCTGGGAAGTACACCTTGATAGAGGTGGATGGAGAGCAAGATGCTGAAATCAAGGTAATTTAAATACCTGTATGATTAGATCAAGGAGCATTGAGTGTGGTTATGAAACCTCAAATTGTTAAAATCACAGTATGAAAAGCAAAGTCTCTAAAAAAAAAAAAAAAAAAAATACAAATTCTTCAACTGCGTCTCTAATATTTTAGACTTTTGACACTCTGTATGAGCTTTAGCAGAATCTCCCTGTGCCTTCTCTTGGACATTGCAGGTAGACTGTGTTGATGGCAAGCCAGCCCAGGTTGCAAAGAACGCCCTACCTTGTACCCTCGATGAAGCTACACAGAGCCTCATTAAGCTCATTTTCAGCAATGACATGTTCAAGGAGGCGATGGAATGTATGAACCTAGGTGGGTGTGTCTCACTTGTAAATGTTTTCACACGACAGATCCAGTCTGCAAACACTCTTTGTATTTAAAATACCAGTTGTGTAATGTACCTGTGAAGCTGAAATGGGTGCAGACTTTAAAAATACTCCTGTGTATTAAGCCTAACTTGTATTTCTAAGAACTGTAGGAAACAATAAAGAATGCGATGTAAATGATTAAACATTGTTACAAACAAAGGGTAAAGTCTACATCTGCATATCTTCCCTCATCTCAGCATTTTGGACATATATGATTAATGTTCTGGGCTTTGCTAGCTGCAGTAGGCAGAAAGCTAGAAAAGGCAAAAATGAAGAGATAAAACAGTAAAAGCAATCCCAGGCTTAAAACTCGATAGGCTTCTCTCTGCATCTTTGTCCTCTTTGTGCATCCGTACGTGTTTCATAGCTCTAAAAGTAAGTAAGTGCTGGCTTCTGGCTTCACACATTATTATGCTTAACCCACTGCACCTCCATAACTTGTTTCCTGTGAAGACTTAATAGTAACTATCTGATTTGGTCTGAAAGGTTGCGTGGTTTACGAGAGTGTCCTGTTTTGACTATGCTTTTCTAAGCCCTGAAATCAAAAGAAGGATCAATTGTGTTGCTTCCTCTATGAGCACACTAATCATCTGAAAACAACCTAACCTTACATTTTTGTTTCTAGTTTGGAAACCTTTTAAATTGCACTAAAAACACTTTTTGACAAGTGTTTTTAGTGCAATCCTGGGCACAAAAATTATGAAAACATGCAATGATCTGCTTGAGAATTGTGTTTTTTGTATGTGGTTATTACGCAGACATCAAAAAGATGCCTTTGGGCAAGCTCAGCAAGGTCCAGATTGCAAAAGGCTTTGAGGTTTTGGAGGAGATTGAAGCTGCTATGAATCAAAAAAGTGGAAAAGGACGTCTAGAAGAGCTTTCCTCAAAATTCTACACCACAATCCCACATAACTTTGGCAGGAACAGACCGCCTACTATTAATGACAAAGAGATTGTGGAGAAGAAAAAAGAGATGCTCTTGGTAAGATTTTCTGGTTCATAAATTAGGAGAAGCTTTGTCTCGCTGTGCTGTGTTCTCATTCCTAAAGTCTGTTCCCTGTTGTGTGTTTTTTACAGGTGTTGGCTGACATTGAGCTTGCCCAGACTCTGAAGTCAGAGACTGAGAAGGCTCAAGAAGAGATGATACAGACGGTTCCTCACCCTATAGACCAAGACTACAATTCTCTCAAATGCAAGCTGACTCTGATGGAAAAGAACACAGAAATGTTCAAGGTACTGTCTCTTACGTGACTAAGTCTTATAAATACAAAGGTTTTGGACTGCTGCTTATCTTAGATCTGCTATTCATGTTGTTTTATACAATAGTAGCAGTTGTGTTATTTCCCTCTTTGTGTTTTCGCATTTGAAGATCATAGAAAATTACCTGAAAGCGACTTCAGGTGACTATTACAAACCAAAAATTCTCAATGTTTGGGAAGTCGATCGAGAGACAGAGGTAGGCACTACAGCCAGTTTTATTAAGTCAAACACAGAAAACGGGTGTCCTCTGACCGAAAGCACATGTTCCGCATTGCAGGGGCAGCGCTTTAATGAGAACGATAATCTGGAGAATCGGCGTCTGCTGTGGCATGGTACAAACATAGCAGTGGTTGCAGCTATCCTGAAGAGTGGTCTGAGGATAATGCCCCATTCGGGAGGCCGTGTCGGTTGTGGTATCTATTTTGCCTCTGAAAACAGCAAGTCTGCATGTTACGGTAAGGCTAGAAGCAAGAAACAAGACAATTTTGGGTCTTTACTGGAGTCATAACATTGTACTTTTCACTTTCTGTCCATTTTCAGTGCGCCCTTCCAAAAATACAGGAGTGATGTTTCTCAGTGAGGTCGCCCTTGGCAAAGAGCATACCATTACCAGAGACAATTGTTCCTTGAGGACGCCTCCGGCCGGGTATGATAGTGTGGTGGCACGAGGCATGGTCGAACCAGGTGCAGTACTTCTTAAGTTTTATACGGTAAAATAATACCTTTTTATAAAGAAATATACAATGTCACAAAGTAAACTATCAGCATATTGAGAGATCTGCGTGCCTTTTGTCCTTGAAATTGTTTGGCAGTTTGGATGAAGTTTAATTTCCACTGGTAACTCATGACAAATTCATTAAAAGAAACTTGCTATTCATGTTATCAGATTGTGTCAGTTTCCCCCAAATGAATAAAAATATAAACATTTGAAAATCAGAGTGGCAGTAGCTTTTCTGTGTGCAGCCATACGTGATCTCTCTGTGCTCGCTGCCTTACCTCCAGCCCAAAGACATACATGTTAGGTGAAATGGTGACCCTAAATAGGCTGCAGGTGTTCATGTAAGCACCTTGTGGCCCGTAGTGCACTTTGAATGATCAATTAGTCTGGAAAAGTGCAATATGAATGCCACCTCCTGTCAATTTTGTTATATCACTTTGTGATTCTTTGATTTCAGATCCGTCCAAGGATATCTTCATCACCCAGGAGGGTAAGAAGGTTGCTGTTCCTCAGGGTAAGCCAATAAAGCAACCCCAGTTTTCTGATAGTCACTTCAGCAACAGTGAATATCTCATCTACAAAGAGAGTCAGTGCCGCCTTCGCTACCTGCTGGAGCTAAACATGTATGGCTAATTCTAACCAAAGAAAAATGAAGGTCCTTTTGTTTGTTTCTTGGTGATGGACTTCCTACAGTCCTTCTGATAAGGCTATGGTCTAATGCAGTGAATGTGGATCTGTTTATTTTAGATGCACTTTTCTGTGCCTTACGCTTATGTTTGTGTAGTTTGCAAGTTTTTATACATACTTTAAAAAATGTAAAGCTAATATACAATGCATGGTGGTCTTTGCACATTTTTGTTTTTGAATTGAATTAGTGGTTTTCAAACTGGAGGGCTGGACTACGATGTGAAAAATGTAAAGTGAAAACTGATTTCAATTCATGTGATTTTCTTTTTTCTTTTTTAAGAAAAAACAGTAATGTTCAAGTTTTTAGTTGTTGAGAAGCAGTGGATGACTTCTTACAGCTAATGAGGTGGAGCCTGCCATTTTGAGAACCATTGAATTACATATTGAACCTCACCTTCTGTTTGGCGTCTCAGTTCTGTTTCTATAGGGTTTACATATTTGCATACGCATCATTTTGTCTAAGTGACAACGAAGGACACAGTTCTGTGCGTCAGAAAGAAAGGGTCTTGAATGTGCACTTATATATGCATTTTGAGTAGTGATAAATTAAGTTAAACTGGTGTGGGAAAGAGGCATAAATGGTACCTATACAAAGACATATTTATGAAAATGTAAAATGCAAATTCTTGGGTAACATTGAAGAACTGTTACAAATGTAAGAAGGTTTCAAGGAGTTTTCTGCTTTGGAAGCCAGTCCCACTATGCCTTATTGGTTTATTCCAAATACAACCACATGGTGTCATTAATGAGAAAATCCATTTTAGATTTAAAAAAATGTTTGTAGTAATGCACTATGACATTACGTGAATATAGAATATACTGAAGTGCCCCTGCAACATCTCTTATTATGAAGGCAATTAGTTAAAATGATGCCATAATGGTAATGCACTGACTGTGATTGTAAACAAGTAATCCATAAATAAAGAATAAATCATCTAAAATGTTTACTGGTTGTTTGGATATCTTCTCTTTCGAATTCATAAAGTTTCTCATATAATGCTGTGTTTATGTGTTATGTAGAGTGCTTAACACATTTATTAGTCCACCACCCAATGTAATGATTAATCCACCAGCATGTGCAGACTCTTTAATCGGAGTAATATTTTTAATGCTAAAGTAAAGTTATTGTTATTATCTGTGAATTTATCCAAAAATGTATCATCTTACAGAAAAGTGGAAAAAGTAGTATAGCATATTGGTGAAGATTAAGATGTTTTCTCTTGTGTGTATTTGTGGTTTCTTTTTCTTATAACAGGTGGTTTAATGATTTTTTTAAGCACTGTATTGCAAAGGGTTTAAAGGACTCATTTTGCAAGATACTAGCTCACATTTTGCTTGCTGCAAACACTGCTTATCATTTATTTATTAATTTTTAGGAAAGTTCGTATTATGTGAGTGGTGTTCTCTACAGGTATACTATAATCCAGCTCAATGAAACATATAATTTAAGATGTAGATGACCTAAGATCCAGTAAATTGAAAATATTTAAAGTCAAATAGATGTAAAAAGAAAACCGTTGCAGTGCCAACGTAAGCTACATTAAAAACAGAAATAAATCTTTGAACTGGTGGCTGTTAGGACCCAGGAGAGACTGGGCTCTGGAGGAAGACAGAGGAGTGTGTGTCCGCTTGAAAAAACAAAAAACACATCACTCACACAATCACACAATACAATGTGTGACAGTCACCGCCATACACAGCATCAAACAGCAATTGGGGTGTTACTAGAGGAAGGGAGAAGGAAGAGAAGAAGCATCATTTAAAAATGGAAAGCCGTCATGGAATTGGGAATATACCTGTCTAGCAGCTCTGAAACTCTCCTCTTAAACTTTTCATGTGGAATTAACAAGAACAACAAAAAAGCTGGGACTGCATAAACAATATGTGGGATTTAAGCTATAGTGGTGTCAGCGCTGACACTTGGTTAACCTATTCAGATTTAACTATGGTGTAGAAACAGAGTGGTTCATGGGTAAGTTATTTCAGTTTGATCTCGTTTTTCAGTGCTCTATTTGTTTCTTTATAAAGCAAACAAAAATACAAAAGGGAGTCAATAAATATATTTTCCCCACAATAACGTATGAAGGCACAGAAATTTTTGAAAGTGTACCATTGCAATCTATTTCAGTATCTGGTAGTGGTACTAGTGTGTTCCTACAGCAGGTCTAAAGTAATAACTTGTACTTGTCTACATTTTACCATAACAATGGGTTTATAATTTCAGTTACTTTTATTAGTGTGTCTACCAAAATCTACCAAATCTACCAAAATCTGTTCAGTCACAGTTGTGATTATAATAACTTCTACATCACATCATCTCCTCGTAATTGATCCTGACATTGCAAATACAACAAAAGGAGTCAATAATTCCTTCCTGATGAAAACAAAATGCCGTGTGAACAAAGGTTTATCAGATTGCAGTTAGATCTAAATCAGTCTGTAAAACCACTTAGAGTACTGGCTGTTAATGGATTAGACTTTTTAAAGAGAAACAACTCTCCTCACAACTCTTTAATTTAACAGCAGTTTAGTAAGCTGACTGAACGTTGTATAACCATTGTTTTTACTCTAAACGTTTCAAAGTTTACCCATCAATATGTTTACACCAGCTGCTATTACTCTTATGACCTTTTAACAAGTCACAGTGAGGAATTAAATGACTGTGGTAATTTAATTGCAATATATTTCTCAATTAATTCATATTAAATAAAATTGCAAGACATTCTATGGACAGAGGCGATCACATACACAGAAATAAAAAGCATACCTTTTTAATAGATACATAAATACGCTTGTAAAGTCTGCTTTTAAACTACTTTAAAATGTTTATAGATGTTTTATGAGAGTTTTTCCATTTCCTTTCAACACAGATCCACATATGAAGAAATCTGAGATAAAAATGGAGGAAGCTGCGATTTAATAATGGCTGACAAGACCAGGTCCATGTTAGCCTCTGTGGCAAATCATTCTGTTCTGAATCTTACAACTGCCCAGTGGGAACCCAATCCTACCGTTCCTGCTGATGTGGGTGTTGTCACAAGCTCTCAGTCACAGATCAAAGATCTTTTCGGTTTGTTCTGCATGGTTACCCTCAACCTCATTGCTTTGTTGGCCAACACTGGTGTGATGGTGGCGATTGCTCGTGCGCCTCACCTTAAGAGGTTTGCCTTTGTGTGTCACCTGTGTGCAGTTGACTTGTTGTGTGCCATCCTCCTGATGCCTCTGGGGATCATATCCAGCTCGCCGTTCTTTGGAACTGTTGTGTTCACTGTTCTGGAGTGTCAGGTTTACATCTTTCTTAACGTTTTCCTCATTTGTCTGTCCATTCTCACCATCACAGCCATCAGTGTAGAACGTTACTTCTATATTGTACACCCAATGCGTTATGAAGTCAAGATGACCATCAATCTTGCTATTGGTGTCATGTTACTGATCTGGGTTAAGTCAGTCCTCTTGGCTATTGTCACACTGTTTGGATGGCCAGCTTACGGACCTCAGAGCTCGATTGCAGCGGCTCACTGCTCTCTTCACGCGAGCCACAGTCGCCTAAGAGGTGTATTTGCAGTGCTATTTAGTGTGGTTTGTTTCATGGCTCCAGCAGTGGTTATCTTTGCTGTTTACTGTGCTGTGTACAAGGTGGCTCGTTCTGCAGCCCTGCAGCAAGCCCCTGCAGTAACAACATGGGCAAATGCAAGCCCTGCCAAGGATCGCTCTGACTCCATCAACAGCCAGACTACCATGATCACTACCACCCGTACTCTGCCACAAAGACTTTCTCCAGAGAGGGCATTCAGTGGAGGCAAAGCTGCGCTGACTTTGGTATTCATCGTAGGCCAGTTCCTGGTTTGTTGGTTGCCCTACTTCATCTTCCACCTGCAGATGTCTCTGACTGGTTCCATGCAGAGCCCTGGGGACTTGGAGGAAGCTGTCACCTGGCTGGCCTACTCCTCATTTGCTGTCAACCCATTCTTCTACGGCCTGTTGAACAGACAGATCAGAGAGGAGCTGGTAAAGTTTAGACGTTGCTGCCTTACACAGCCTTTGGAGTTTGGGGCATCAAGCCAAGAGGGTTCGTTTCAGGAAAACTTCCTGCAGTTCATTCAAAGAACCACTAGTACAACTGAAACTCGATCCAACTGTGCCAACTCCAGTCCCCAACCATCCACTACCCATACTGTGGATCAAGTAAATAAGATACCTGGACAAATACCAGAGGAGCAGGCTTAAACAATGATGAGCAGAAGTTGTGTACTACAGAGCTAATATGTAGTCACTGTAGCTGTTCTTTGTTTTTGCAAGACATTTGATCTTAATCAATACGTTTCTGTCCGTGCTGGGGAAAAGCAGGCCACTTTTGAAGGAATAAGTGATGGTGGACAAAATCCAGTGGCCTCTATAAACAGAAGGAACAGTTACAATAATGCTTTTAACATACATATGGACATTGACAGTATTGTTTTAAGATAGTATTGGAAAAAATCTGTTCAAGTACAAATATAATGTTTAGGATATTTTATCTTTTAATTATGATAAGTTTTCCTATTTAGGTCAAGGGACTGTGGTTGTACTGTAACCGGAAATATTGAAATGATGATCTATTCTCCCACGTAAATTTACCTTTCTCTGATTTCTCAGATTTTAACAGTGTTTGTGGTAATTTTCTATATGTTTATAAATGTAAATCTGGAATGAATGTAAATCTGGAATACTGCAATAATAAGGTCTTGAGAGTTGGTTCCCGGTTTCCTCTCAATAACAAGTATATTATATATCTCAATAATAATGTATATTTAAATGCTATTTTTGTGTTGATATTTTTAAAGTGCTACATGTTTCCAAGCTGTGGGCCTTTCTATTTAATATTCAGGAGCTTGTGGTTATCATATATGACCAAATAATCCCGTAGAAGTGCCAATGCTCTCTGTGTTCAGAGGTCAAATGAACCTGAGGGCTAATACCTTTGAGTTCTTCTGTGCAACAGATATGCTGATGGATCATGGGCATCAGCTGGCTCTGTCGTCATGGAAATTGAGTGACTGGAGGTGGCTCGCACAGCACCAGCGACCTTTCAGCTGGATGTATACTTAAGAATCAGATCCTGATTGGAGTTTGCTAATTCACATTTAAAAGGTCTGGAAGTTCAGATACGGATCATTAACATGCAAAGAAAGACTGAAGGTAGGTCACAGAAGTCCCTGCAAATATGGACTACTATAATAGTGACATAGGTATGGTGAGGAAACGATAGTGAATTTACAATAGAAATCATTACTGGGCAATGATTATGCTCTGAGAGTGGTGACAAAGTGCTATTTTATGACCCCTGCTGTTTGTGTTAGTCTTTCACAAACAGGGAAAAAGACAGAATAGTGTGGTTACAGCAAATAACGGCTAACACCATTTCACTTACTGTACTATACACGATGCACCACTCTTACCTTACTGTAGCTGTATATTTAATCCCTGGGTAAATGCCGTGGTAGCTTTTTTAATTTTATTTTTACCAAGTGGATATTAATGATGCAGAAGCACACATGGGAGCATAAAGGACTCTATTATTCAAATGTACGGTTTTGAGATTATAATAATAATACGCACAATTTAGGACTCACACACATCAATCAAGAGATTAATAGTAGGACACACAGTAAAACATTGATGCAAAAATTAATTGTGTAAATGCTGACGTCTTTGGGGATAATGTAAACCGCCAATTACTGTACATTTTTACTGTGACCTCAGTATTTTCTCATGACAAGCACAAAATCTTTACGCTCAAATCATTAATTAATAAGTTGTTGTTATTCTGCTTTTTTTTCCCAGTTAGGCTGTTTTCAGCCTTTGTTGTTGTAATGTTTCCAGTGTTTGTGTGTGTTTGCCTTGAGGACAGCTGGTAAAATTTTGATTACACCAGTTTTCCATAATCAAAGCATTGGATTTTTTTTTTCATAAATAAAGAAAAAAGAATAGAAGGTGCATTTATAGTTTACATAGCTTAATAAACTCTTTTGAGAATACAGTAGCACCAATTTAAAAAGGCAAAGCTTCATCACATCACAGCATCACAGCACTGTGTTATAAATTTTACAGTAACAAATTTTACTTGTAAATTACAGTAAACATACCATAAATTAACGAGAATGCTGCTGGAAGTAAACGTGGATGTACGCTCTGAAGATCTTAATACTAGCAATCCTATAATACAGTCTTATACTTTAATGGGGAATTTTCTTACCGTGCACAGTCTGGATCACCGTCATGTCATTTCTCATGACCACACACACACATACACACACAGCTGGTGTGGAAACAGCTTTGAAATGTACGAGTATTTCTTTTACAGTAACAGGAAAAAAGGTCAGACAGAAGTCTGACCTCTCTCTTCAAATCTGACAGAGCTGTGGGGAGTATAAAACAGCAGTGGGTTATTGGTGTTGGGTGCTTTTGTGCCTGTTTGCTGATGTTCATATTATGTGTGGATCTACCACCCTTTGAATCTGAAAATGTAATTCTAGAGGTTCAAGACCTGTCAATAGTTTATATCTGCGCAGATAGAGGAAATTGAAGGATGGGGTGGGGGAAGAAAAGCTCGTTTTAAGATATTTGTTGAGTGTTATCTCATCCGGCTGAATAGTGGCAAAGGAAAGAACACTCACTTTGACACACACGTTTCAAAGGCCTGATCTGGAACAAACTGATCACAGACAACACAGACGTATGCAGTCTTTGATGTTTTTATTTTGCAGCTGGCGTGAAAATAAAAAATCCAGTCATGAAGATTTGAGGTATTTCAAATCACAGTGTGCCTGCCTCCTTAACAGATCTTCAGGCAATTCATCTGGGCCTGTGAGCTACAGACAGAGGACATAGTGAAATACAGCTATGATGAATGCTGTGAAGAATTCTAGCTCAACACAAATCATGACCTAGACTGTTGTTTTCAGGTTTTATTTTGTACAGTTTTAATACATTTTCAGAAAATAATAATAGAAACACACAATACTATAAGTCATACCACTATGGCCTGGGCTTTGCTATTAGTTTTATTTAATATTATGTTTTCATTCATTGTTTTCCATATGCACACAGAACCTAATCTGGGTAAAGTACACTTGATATTTTAATTCTGGTTGGGTGTTTTAGCAGTATACCCAACCAAGTACTTGTGCAGTGCTTATGCTATCTTTTCAAACAGTGTATACACTGCTTTACTGTGATTTTCCTCTTAATTTTTACTGATGATATGACTTTGATTAAAATGATAATTTTATAAGCTAGATTAAACTATGTAAGCAACTTTTAATAATAAGTGAATCTACTGACTGTGAACACAATCATATAACACAGTCTTCCAGGGGCTTTTCATCACAGTGGTTGCCAAACACTATTAATCATCAGCTAATCAGATCCTGCCAACACTACCACAGTACTGCATCCCAAGCATGTGGGGAAAAAGAGCAATTTAAGCATGTGTGAGTGGAATAGCTGCTTTATGTAACAGGGATGTATTAAAAAAAATGTAATGAAGAACCATGACCAACAGAGTGTGCTACATACCAGTCAATCCTCCTCACATCCTTTTATTTTGACATCTCTAACAAGACCAAGACTTGAAATAATTTTCAACACATAACCGGATAGACGTTGTCTGCAGTGTCTGGCTGTCTTCTTTTTCACAGAATATTAAGTCTTACAGATGCGACAGAGCTGTCTATGATCAGATCTGACACTCTTTACAGCACAGTTGTGCCCAGAATATTGAATTGAAAGATACATTTGATTAATTCAGAGGGCAGTACCATAGAACATGTTAAAAACACGCCTACGCCACACACGTAAGTGAAAGAAACCTTCAGCAATACATTTTTAAAGGTCAGGGGAGGAAAAAGTCACAATCTACAACAAAATATAGAAATACACTTAATATGATATGAAATCAATACATAATGCGCACACTGTAATTTGATGCTTTGAAATGAATGAGGATTCATTTTGTGAGGACAATTTAAAGACTCTAAGGTTTGAGGGGTTTTTTTCTTGATACAAGGAGCCATGCTGAAGTTAAAAAAAAGTGACTACACACAGGCACGGTTTTACAATAGACAAACGGAAAAAAAAAAATCAATGGGACAGCTTACTTTATGCTGTGAGGGATAGGGACTGCTAGCAAGGAGCTGGTGATTTGGTGAGGAGTCTATATTTAATTGACCAACACTGCCAAACACTGTCGCTGTGATGAAGTAACTCTGTAATGTGAGTGCCAGAGTACTCCCCCTGATCATCACCCTGGCAATATTTAAGCAGGAAGTCAGGACTGATTTGATTCCACAAGTGATGGATATTTCTCATGCAGGCACAAATGAGACTTATAACATAGTGTGTCACAAAATGTCAAAGCACGGCTGTAAAAGCCAATAAAGGCATTCCTCAACAGCAGTCAGTTCAGTCAGCAGAATACTATGTTCCACCTGGGTGCTAGCAACAAGCCAGCCATCTTCCTGCTCATCCTCCCTGTTTTCGATTATACCATTCAGACACACAGCGCAGCTTATTGAACATGGAGGACGAAAGATTGAAAGAAAAGAGACCATTGGGGGAACTGCTGGAAGTAAAGGTGGATGTTCACTCTGAAGCTCTGGACTTCATCCACAGTGACACGAGGCCTGTGATTTATGACAGGGATCCCAAAAAAGTCAACAGCAGTCTTAAGGTAACCAATGTGCAACCAGCAGAAACATGAGCAGAGAATACACAGTACAGGACACGAGACAGGGAGCACTAAATCTTAGTAACTAAATCTGTGTTTCAGATTTAGTTATTAAGCTGTTGTTGTACACACGATTCATCCAATTAAAAAGTTTGTAAGAGTAAATTGTTATCCAGTTTGGATAAATTCAGTCCTTGTTGAAAACTTTCCTTATGCTTAATTTCCACTCAATGAAAGAGGAATTACCAGTTTAATAATAATAATAATGTGTTTCCCAATACTGACCTCAAGTGGACATATGCACACACTCTAATAGTGCTATTAGTGACATGTAAATGATTTTTTATTGTTAGTCATTAATAAAAATTGTGGAGTGAGTGTATTGAAATTTTACTGGAATCTGAGGGAGAGCATGGCAGAAATAGTTTTGGACCACTGTTATAAAGTATTGTTTTGTTTCTCTGATACAGTAACACATTCATTTACCTCATCTCTCATGATCATTTTCTGATATTTGTAACATGCAAACGGCATTCATGCCAGCATAGGAATCACTTACAGTCTCCCTGTTTGTGTCTGGAGGTCATGTTTGAGGATGTGATTGCAGAACCCCCCTCTGTGCGGAGCTTTGATAAAGTGTGGCTATGGAGTCACGCCCTGTTTGAGGTATCCAGACTATGGTGCTACCGATTCATCTCTCTCCTGCTGGCTGTGCCAGTCTCACTGGCAGCAGGGCTCCTCTTTGCTGTGCTCAGCTGCCTGCATATCTGGTAGGACGCTTACACTGTGACAAGCAGACTTACAGACAAGACTGAATAGCTGCACTAGTTTTCTGCTAAGTAAGAATCTTTAGGCAGAAATGGTTGTCACGTTTTCTCTGATACATTCAGGGGACTCCGTCCAGGAGTCCAAAATGATTTTTACTTCCTTTTTATTAAATGAGCTCATATTTTGTCCTCTTCTTTGTGTCCTTCAGGTTGATCGTGCCATGTGTGCAGCTCCTTCTCATCAATATGCGCTGGGTTCAGACTGTGTGGGCCAGCATACTGAACATTTTTATCAGTCCATTCTTTACCAGTATTGGAAAGTGCTGTGGTCAAGTCACCATCCTTCTGGCAAAAGATGAAAACTGATGGAAGCACACTGCGTGGAAACGATTGGTTAAAACAGCAATTATGGCACATGAACAGCAGCGACAGACTGCATACTAATTCTGCTGGGAGGGAAATGATCATCTGTATTTTAACCATCTATGATTATTCTGTTTTTATTCATTTATCGTGTAATTTGTCATGCTGAAATATATAATTAGTCTTCTGTTTTCTAAATATTATAGTGCATTATGCATAAAACCTTTTGGCTGTCTAGATAAGGGCAACACAAAAAGCATACACTGAGGGGAATTAATAAATAATAATTCAATAATAAATTATATTTAAACCTCCTTAATACACATGTAAAAGAAGAATCCACTGAAAGCAAAGTGAATGACAAATATTGCAATTAATTTCCAATTTAATCCACCCATAAAATTTGAACTGATTATAAAAACAGATTAGGAGGTTAAGAGCTCTAGCAGAGCACTGGACAGTCCTCTGGATGGACTGATGTGTATGTGAGGTTAATGAAGACAATATGAATGCAAATATGTAAAAAAACAAAACAAATTTCAACACCTGCTAACAACTTTTGGTTTAAGGTTTTGAATCCAGCTATATGCAGTAGTTTCTACTAAACAAGATGATAGCTGAAGGTGGAGACCAACAACTAATTTCACTCTGATTTATTTTTCTATGGAAAAAGGTTCCTCTGAATCTTCTTTTAGCTTGATTGGAAGTAACACGTTTATAACAGAAAGCCTCCTGTGTTAAATGTAGTGTAAATCGAAAGGAGTGGAAGTTTAAGAGCCAGAAGGTGTGCAACCTTGGAACCTGTCTGCCATTATCGGTGGATGATAGTCAAATACAGACCATCATCTGCATATTCAAATAGAGACCTCTGATTGCCTAGGCACCCAATCACATCTGCATATTCCAATTTAGATACACCAATTAACCTGACAAGCAAATTTTTGGACTGTAGAAGAAAGCCCAATTACCCATGCAGAACATGCAAAACTAACTATTGAACCAGCGTGCTTCCCCTTGTGTTTGAGAAATTAAAACAAATGTTGTGATTCACCTCATTTGTACAGCTTGTAGGATCAAACCTAATATTTGATTAAACAAGTGTAAGAATTTATTGTTATTGGAAATTCATTTCATTATAAATCATATTTTGTATTTGTCTCAAGTTACACACCCAGCAGTGCTCATTGCAAAGGGAGCACCACCTGTGTGCGTAATATAACCTGAGCTAGTGATACCTACTCTACCCACTACATTCTATATGAGTCTAAATATAGGCATGAGACCCGCTTGTGTCTGTGTACATTAAGTGGAAGACAAGAGCCAGTGCAGTCTCAGCTAACTGCGCCGACACCCATGGAGGCAGAGGTATGCCCACCGTGACTCTCTGCAGAGCTATTTCTGTCCGTCTGCCTCAGTGCCAAGAATACACCCCTAATTGGCTTGGCACCCAATCACATGCACTCTGATCTCATTCCACCTCTCCCTCTTCATCTCCGTCTCTACCAACGGGAAACTGGGACAAGGAATGCCAGTCCTTGATCCACAGTCAAGCTTCCTGTACTTCTCTTACAGGCAACTGTTTGAGATACATAGCAACACAGAGCTGCCGGTGCTGCTGGTGGTGCTAAGAGCCTTTGAAACAATTTTCATAACAGCAATCTCTGCGCTGCCTCCTATTCCCCACCTCCTTTTTTTGTTGCAGCAATAGTGTATGAGTTTGTTTAGGGAATATACTGATATAGAAAGCTATGACTGATAGCAACAACTGCAGAGCTTAGGAAAGACTGAAGCCTGTTTTATTTTGGGGACTATTGAATTTTATGTATTCGCTGTGACTAAATCAGAAGTATACGAGAAGGCTAAGGACATGCATTTGTGTGGGTTCGTCATGCTCTGTACCACAGCGTATGGAAAGTAATGACTGAGTCACATTGTTGTTATGATTACCATTATGAAAGTAAACATATCGATTAGAATATAAAAGCTAAATTGTTTTTGTTATCTATTTTCTGCCTTAGCCTCCAATGATGGAGCAGTATTTTCCTTAGTATTTGAGCACTCTGTTGTGTGTCCAAAGGCTTCATATTTTTAGTGAAACATTGGAAATTGCAAACATATTCAGCATGTAATGGCAAAACCTTCCCGACAAGCCCTCTAAAAGAATATACAGTGCCTCAAATAATTTATAATACAAATTCTAAGCTGAGAAAAATAGGACATGGAGGATGAACCTGAGTGTTAAGGTGAACATTAATTAATTTCATTACCATTACATTAATGGAACAGAGTGCTGTTATCATTGATTGTTGACGTGCAAACATGTTAAAGTCAATCCTCTAAACTTAACTCCAGTCTTAAGACTGTGTGTAGTAACTAAAGCCACAGGATGAGACTTTCTGCCTCACTTTCGAGTGGAAGTTGGGGCCTCTGTGCAAACCCGGCCCAATCAGCCCAACAACCCTGTGTGAAATGTGACACAACCCTGGGTTCTCCTTTAAGACATTCCTTTTATGTCTGTGTGCATTACATTGTGTGCAAGTGTGTGAGTGTAAACCTTCTCTGTGCGTGCGGGGTGGGGGGGTCAGGCCTCCATTTTTACCAGGGCGTCTGCAGCAGCTGTCCCCTGGCATGTCAGCGGGAGCGGCACAGTAGTGATACCAGGTCAGAAGCGAACTGAGGCTGCTGCGCGCAGGTTGATTAAAGGTTTATCTTCACTTTCTTCATCCAGGACCTGCAGCCCGACCATGGCGGATCAGTACCAGTACAACACTAATGAGGAGAAGTTTGTGAAGGACAGCCACACCAAAGAGATAGATCTAATTAACAGAGATCCCAAGCAGATCAACGAGGACGTGGTGAAGGTTTGTGCAGCATGGACACGACACCCTGCCATTAACAGCTTTAAGAATCTGTCACCTGCTTTTGCATGTATGGAAATGTGGATTTTTTTTTAAGTGGTTGCTGGAAAAAAAAGAAGTGATAACATATGAGTAAAAAAAAAAAAAAATAGACCAAGAGCCATTCCTGTTGCTTGTGCAGAACGCAAAGTTTATTTTAGGAAAGGGGCAGGACAGCCTGAAACTGATACACTGTGCCACGATGTGTTATTTAAGTTACTGTTTATACTGTGATTGTTGCCATGTGTTCACCACAAAATCCTTTATGTAAGGACAGAACCCATCATACTTTAGATTATATATTGTTTGACTTAAGGTAAACATTTAAACAATGAGGATTGTGATTGTGTGTAGTGTGTAAGCTCATGACTGATTTACAGGCTTGCTTTTGTCAGTTTTCAGAAAATTATACAACAGTAACTCATAATAACTGAAATATTTATCAAACTGTAAGGGCTATCTCTGATCCATTTACTCCTGCATAGATAGTACTTTTATTGATGAATTAGCACTTATAATGTAATCCAATTCTTTGCTAACACTTCATATTCTTTGCTTTTTCATTAAACCAAAATGATTTATGATCCATGAAAACGCTATCCTTCAATTAGTCACAGAATCCTTCAGAGGATTTGACAGCTTGTGTATGAACCACGTGCGTGTTAGGTTTTTCTAAAATTACACTGCTTTTTGCTTTACATATGCCTCTAATAGTACTCTAATGCCTGAAATGGCCCAGACCATGCAGAAAAATATAGAACAGCAGTGCATTCATTCATTCATTTGTTCATTCAAAGTATAATCTCACCCCGCTATCTCTGTGGGAAACAGCCTTTTTACTCCCAAATTGATCATAACCAATGTTCTGGAAGCAAAGAAAATGCTTTAGATGTGGACATGATCACTTTCTAGCTTGAATAACATTTCATCACTGAGCCTGAGCTGAAAAAGCAGCTTACCAAGACTGCACTTTAGAAAACTAAAAACCAAATCAGACCAATGTAAAGTAGCTCTCATGAATTTTACACGAGTTTATCTTCGGTTTGTGCTGCAATAAAGCTTTTAGAATTATTACGATGCTGCATTAAACACACTCCTCAGTTTTTCTGTTTGAAACGCACAAAGTGCAACAAACAGTTATTTTCTCTGCATGCGCCAACACTGCAGCTTTCTGAGGCATATGATTACTAATTATTAAGCATGTCATTGCCATGTGCGTGACGCTTGCTCTGAAAGCGTTGTTCTCTTGTGTATCGGTATTAATGAATGGCTTTTTAAAATGTCTTATTAGGTGGAGTTTGAGGATGTCATTGCAGAGCCTGATGGTACACACAGCCTGGATGGGGTGTGGAAGCTCAGCTACACCACTTTCACTGTTTCCAAATACTGGTGCTACCGCGTTTTGTCTGCTGTCTTTGGTATCCCTGTGGCCCTGCTCTGGGGCTTCCTGTTTGCCTGCATCTCCTTCTGCCACATCTGGGCTGTGGTGCCCTGCATCAAGAGCTGCCTGATTGAGTCGCAGTGCGTGAGCCGCATCTACTCCCTTTGCATCCAGACCTTCTGCGATCCCTTCTTTGAAGCCTTGGGCAAGATCTTCAGCAGTGTTCGCGTGGCACTGCGCAAAGAAGTCTAAGAACTCCTGCAGTAGTGTTTGTAGCGTGATCGGATGAAGCGTGGTATCTTTTTATACACCAGAAGACCAGACTTGGCATCTTGCTTGCTGCCTAATACTCTTCCTCCACCTTGACATGACATGTTGTTCCCCACCCTCCCAGTGTCTGACTCATCGATCTGAATCCTGACATGCCCACTGTGGGTTGTGCCAGCAGAAGTTCTGTGACAGCTGAAGCAGGCAGTGTGGTTCTCCGACAGCTCTGGCACTTCTGGAGAAAGGCCCTGTCTAGATACGACCGCCCTCATGTATTATTTGTTACACAAAATGCTCGGACAATGTCTACTGGTTCACTGCACATGAAACGAACTGCACGACACTGCTGTAACCTGAGGATGCTGCTGCTTTATTGAATCGCATTTGGCCATCTTAAAATTGATGCTGTATGATCCTGCATCTGGAATTGTTTCACTTGAATTAAATGAATGTATCTTATTGTTAATACTTTAACGTGAGTGAAAGAATTTATCTTTGTCTGATCCGGTTTCTTTGTGTATTCTGATGTAATTTCCCCCTAATTTCTGATTAGTGTACAAAACATAGTAGTCGTTTTGAAGACTTACAAATGCATACATGTGTCAAACAGACACTTCCTCTATTCAAAGTGTGATGAGGTGAATAATAAAAATGCTTATTTGCGTATTTTAGTCAATTCTAAACATATAAGTTGGAGTGAAGTAAAATTTCTTTGTGAGATCTGTGTTAATTTTTCACAGTGTTTTTCTTTTCTGGTTTTTTCTTTTCTTTTTTTAGACCTGCAGTCTGAGAAGCAAAAACATTACAAAAATACCTTAAACTGGACAGAAAATCGTTTTGCTGACTATGTTGCACCAGAGTTTGAGTGTATTGTGTGCATTTTTCAAAACCTTCTGAGAGGCGTCAGAAAATATCTGAGCCTAACATCTGTTTCCCTGATACTGTCCTTCTGGAAGAGGTGACCTGTGACCTGTGACCCACCAGAGGTTGCTGTTGTGTATCTTTCATGTGCTTTTCTTTTGTGTCTGAGATCCACGATCAATAATTCATTGTCACCACACTCATTTCTTCTTAGCTATAAACCACTTTTGTATAGTCCACATACTATAATACTGAGAAATAGCAGACTCTTCAAGACATTATCACACTGTTTAATGCCTTATGTAGTTATGCAACCACATTTTATTAAAACAAAAAGGCTTTAATCACTTTCATTTTATGATGCTCTTAATTTGTAAGACTTAATTAGGTTAAGCTCTCATCACACATTTTAATAACCAAGACACACATTTTAAACTCACAGACTTTAGTAAACATATGTTTACTGCAAGATTAAACCTTTTCACTGATTTTTACAATTCTTACACTGAATTGTCAGGTTGAATCCACTGGAAAGCAGATTAAAAGGAAATGCAGGGCTTTATTTTCAAAAACAAATTTTCAGTTTCATGAGCACAAAATTAATGCTGCTGAATCACTGGAAAAAAGGGCAGTTAGCAAGTAAAGTATAAAATATAAATACTCATTTTCTAAGTTTTTCATTTACATATTTTTTCTGCCTTTTGCGAAACATAAATTAAAAAAGCAGAATCACACACACTGATTGGCCTCCATATTTATTTTTAATTAATGTACCCATAAAGTACTTGTGAATGAGCAGTTATTGATGTGGTCAATAACCGCTCATTTATGAGTCATTTAATAATAATGGTTCCATTAGTGGCTTTAGACATTAGCACAGTAACAAGGCTACGAATGACTGAATCCATACATATGTATACCTGTTTAATGGAAAGATTGGCCTTTGCATTAGGTACACCTTGCTAGTACATGTTAGATTGCTTTTTGCCTTCAGAACTGCATTAATGGTTTGTGGCACAGTTTCAGCAAGGTGCTGAATCATTCCTCAGAGATTTTGCTCCACATTGACATGATAGCATCACACAGCTGCTGCAGATTTGCTGGCTGCGCATTCATGATGAAAATCTCTCATTCCATCATATCTCTAAGGTGCTCTACTGCACTGCGATTTGGTGACTGTGGAGGCCATTTGAGTACAGTGAACTCATTGTCATGGTCAAGAAACCAGTTTGAGATGAGTTGAACTTGTGCCATGGTGCATTATCCTGCTGGAAGCAGTCATCAGCAGATGGATAACTGTGGTCATAAAGTGATACGGTTGGCAGCAATACTCGGGTAACTTTTGGGGGGGAGAGAGTGTCAACAAAATGACCACCACCCACTTATTCTGTTTCACTATATGCCACTCGTGACACTCTTAATTTCCCAATAAGTTGGGGATAAATAAAATGATTGGAATCTGAATCCGTCACAATCATCAGAGCAAACAATGTTTTTTCCAATCTTCCATTGTGCAATTTTGGTGGGTCGGTGTAAACTGTAGCCTCGATTTCCTGTTCTTGGATGACAGGAGTGGCATCTACAGTAGTATGATCTTCTTCTTCATCCTGATGCTCGGTTCCAACTCCAGCAGGTTGTCTTGATCAAATCCACATGCCTAAATACATTGAATTGCTGCCATGTGATTAATTGATTCAATATTTGCATTAATGAGCATTTGAACAGTTGTACCTGAAAAAGTGGCCAATTAGTGTTCAAGGTAAATATTAGCCTACTCAAATCCATCATTTTGACTCTTCAAGATTAAATCTAAAGCTTGGCTCGATCAGTATAAGGCAGCTGAATAATAATGACCCGCCTTTTACACATCTGAGGGATGTTGCTGTACTTTCAGTATTATTTATTCATATTTAATTATAATATTCATTGTATCATACAGTTTTGGCTTTTCATTCAAGTCCCTTCTGACTACCAGTATTGATAACCATTGTGCTGCAATTAACAAATCCAGACTGTCAACACGTCAGAGTTATTTAGTCACAGCTTATTTTATTTTCATGTCATGCAGCAACTGTTGCCTTCAGGTATCTGACAGAAACATGAGTCACTCATTAGTGTATAAACTCTCAACCAGGTCAGGTCTCAACCCTATACTGAATTTTGGGGCTGAAACAGGATGTTCCCAACTTGAATGTTATGCCAAGAATCTTTTTAGACTCCTTTCAGGAGGCGAAAGGAAAACTAACCAGCTGTGTTTAAATAATTTTATCATAAGTGTATTTTTGGTTGCTTTCATTCTTTATTTTTTTAATATGTTTTTTGAAAATATTTACCAGTGACAGGCATCTCACATCTAACAAGAACTCAAGTAACGTTTTACATGTTTTACAGGTATGCAGTCCACTGAAAATGTGACAAAATGAAAAATGTGGTGCGCAGTATTTACAACAGAAGAACAATTTCATCATAACACAACATGACAAGTAGGATCCAGAAGCTCTGCTGGTGACACTAACTGAACCCATGCTGTGGCTGACGGCGCTTAGAAGCTTTGTAAAGACTGTACTTTTTCTGCATTGCAAACCTATACTGTACATCTAAAATGAAAAGTGTAAGAAGAAAATACAACAAAAAATCAGCTGAAGATACAGCTTAGTCTGTGATTATCTCTCTGTGAGTTTTAAAGAGCAACGCTTTACCCCCTAGGAATACTCAGCTGAAGATTTCCTTTTATCACAATTCTTTTCCCACTTCACTCTGATATAAAACAGAAAAAAAAATTAAGACTTTTGTTGTCTTCCCACTTCTAAACATCAAGCCTCAGTGAGGAGGCATAAAAGAAATCAAACTGCTGGATATTTTATGGTCGACAGCACGTAGTGAAAGGCTGAGGGCACAGCGCAAGGAGGGGAATGGAGGGCCCGGGGCTTATGTGGTAGAAGTCTGTGTGATGCTCCTCTGACTGCTAGTGCTCTTAATGGCAAAGGTTGAAGAGTTGCTCTTGTGACTGGAGTTAAAGTCACGCTCACAGTGGCACTGGGATGACTTGAGGTAGCGGGTGGAACAGCAAAGAAGATTCTGCCTAAGATCCTGGAACAGATGCCCGGCAAAGCACATATAGATCCAGGGGTTGCAGCAGCTGTTGAGGCTGGCCAGCAGCATGGAGATAATGAAGGGCATGGCTGCGTGTGGGGAGAGAGAAAAGTTACAAAGATGAAATATTTATGCCAAGTCTGGACTGAAAGGCAGCTTGTTTACTCTGTGAAATTTTGTATTCTAGCAAATAAGATGCTGTTGACTGGCTGACAGTGCGGTACAGCTGTCTTTATCCCAGTAGAGTTTTTTCACAGTGGATATTTTCATGTCTCACAAAAGCCTATGAGGTACCGTGTTACACTGATATTGACCATAACTGTGTGATATTTAAAATAAATATTGATATCATGTTCAATTCTATTCTATTCTTTTTATAGTGTGACAAATCACAAAAACAATCACTTCAAGGCACTTTATATCGTAAGGTAAAGCCCCTGCAATAATAGAGAAAAAAGCACAACAATCAGACACTATGAGCAAGTACTTGGCGACAGTGGGAAGGAAAAACTCCCTTTCAACAAGAAGAAATCAACAGAACAAGACTCAGGGGGGACAGTCAGCTGGAGGTGAGGATGTGTTGATAATATTGAAATATCTGCAGTTTTTCTTCTTGAAATCTTTTGTGCATTTTCCTTCGTATCATCATATTATGAGTTTAATTCATTTGCTAAAACAAACAAACAAACTTACAAACTGAAAGGTACTTTTTTTTATAATAAAGTTAATGATGGGGTAAAAAAAATTGATATGATGACAGCCACAGACTAAACCAACCTGCAGTCATCTGTAATTTTTGCTTGGCTTCCTTTAAAAAATAAAAATAAAATTGCTTGTGCCGACACATTTAACATATTCCTGAAGATGCATTCCTGCTGAAAACAGCTCCTGTTTCAGGATGCTGGCAGAGTGAGAAGGGGGAATATACAACACAAAGAATTGAAATGGTGAATTATTTAAAGAAGAAAAGTGATGACTTTCTGAAACAAAGGGAATTCCTGCAAAGAGGAACAGTTAGAATAAGAGAAGTGAAAATGGCTCCCCTGCAGTGTCATTATGATACCTTACACTAAGTAATCTGCAGAAGCGTGCAAAATGAAGTTTACACCTTTCACATGACATTTAACAAATGTATGGAATATATATAATTACTTTACACCCTGTATTTAACCTCATCTCACTGATTGCTGATCTTTTCTTCAGTGTGTTTATGCTCCTCCCATTTTCATGTTGTCTTTAATGACAATTTCTAAGCTTGAAAGAAAGAAAAAAATCAATGTAAATGCTCTTTGGAAGGGTGTGAAAGTCACATGCATAATTAAAGGTAGTTGACCGATAGCCATTTAGGGTTGGATTTATGACTCAAAGAACTCCTTTTAGAGGGTCATGGATGTTACGATTTGAGCAATAGTGTGTGAAACAGCCAGAGCATAATATCAGCTGGAGCAGTTTTCAGACATTTATTATCAGAGCAGCGAGAGCACGGCCTGCACTGATGCTGAATAATATCAGGAACTACTCCCAAAAAGGCTTTAATAAATTAGCTCCTGGTGTCTTTCACAAGGAAATAATAAATCACTCAGCAAATGAAAAGAATAAGAAGCATCATCTCCTGGGTGGTACATCTGTTTGGCTGCCACAACTGATAATAGCCTTCTCAGCAATTCATTACTGAGATGACCTAATGCTGAGTCTTTTTTCCTGTGGGCAAACAAACATCAGCAGTAATCTCATTTTGATTATTACAATATGTGATATTTATGAGTAAATTGCATTTTTCTCTTCACATCTTGTCCTTTAAAAAGTGTAACACTTGGAGATTGAACAATGGGGCTTTGTGTTCCTCAAGCTCTTAATCAATAGTATATAGAGTGTGAGCCGGTGTCTGAGGGCAGCAGGCTCAGTGGGGAGATGTTTGTGTTAAATTTTCTTTCGGGTTTTTTTTGTGGGGGGGGGGGGGGGGTGATTCTGTGAGTGTCTGACTCAGGCTTTAACCTTCTTCTGTTTTTGTCCTCTGCATAATGAAATCTGTCTGGTTGTTAAATGTGAAATCACAGATGCTGCTGATGTCCTTCTAGCAAACCTGAGAGGAATGGGACATTTTAGTATCCTATGACATTTCCAGAAATAGCCTTGATAAGCCTAACCAGGTGCTAAAAATGGTCAAATTCTCATCTGTGAAAGGTCCTGTCTCCTTAACATGAATAATAACGCTGACTTCTCAGTAGTTTGGGAGGAATTTGGAAAAAGACTGACTAGCTTTGAGGACATATTCATACACTAAATGTGTGTATACTGCACAACCATATACAGCATACAAATGCTTTGTTCAAATGACAACAAGGGAATACTTTGGTTTCTTTGCAAGCTAAGCGAGAGAAGATGGATATCACTTTGCTGTCTGCACTGGAGCTGCTTGGCTTAACGTAGTCTAAGGAGCTTGGAAAGAAAAGCGACTGGATTTCGTCAAGTTTCTTGAACACGTTTCACCTCTCATCTGAGAAGCTTCTTCAGTTACAAGACCAAATGGTGGAGAGTCCCAAATTTTAAGCCCTAGTCGGAGTTGTTCCTTAATAAGTCATCCCCTCTGCTCAAAGATAGTCATTCACAGTGGACATAAATGGCTTCTTTTACTCCTCTTTCAAACCATCTCTGTCCAAAATGTGAAAAATAGCATCCTTGAAAGAGTGAGCTTTGTCCTTTAGATACAGGTGTACAGCTGAGTCTTGTCCTGTTGAGGTGGCTCTTCTATGTCGTGCCATGCATTTATGGAGAGGCTGTTTGGTTTCTCTAATGTAGAGGTCTGAGCACTCCACGCTGCACTGCACAGAATCCACTACATTGTTTAGCTTGTGCACTGGGATGTTGTGTTTGGAGAAGATTCTCCTGAGTTTCTCTTGATAAACCTGCTTCATAAGGCATGACAATGTTGTTGGCTCATGTGATGAGGCAAATGATTCAACAACCCTCTTAAGGGACACTCCCACTAGGGCTTAAATACCTGGGACTCTCCATAATTTGGTCTTAGAACTGAAGAAGCTTCTCAAATGAGACGTGAAACAGCTACAAGAAACTTAGAGAAGTCAAGTTGCTTTTCTTTCCCAGATCCTTAGATTACCTGGATGACCAAGAACCTAAGCAGACATTTTGCTTAGCATATTGACTAGAAAAAACAGGAAACAGCTTGCCTGACTCTATCCACTTGTAGTCAAGACTGTTAAAACTTTTTATTAATAATTTTATCTAATCAACTGAATATGTGAAAATGGAAATCTGAAAGGAACACATTTAAATTAGTTGTTTAACCAGTATGTCAAAAATATTTCCTGGCCTTTAACTATCGAAGGAATGCCAGGCAGTTACTGGCAAAGCCTGAATTTTTTGGGGACAAAGCGGGGTAACTGTTTCTCTCTGAATCTCCCCATTTTCTAAATTGTATATCTCTTAAAATTAGAAGAAAAATATGCAAAAGTTGTTTATTCCCATGAGCAGTGATTCAGTTTTATTGTATGATCCTTACTAATCGTCCAGTGTAATACAACGCACAATCTGTCATCTCCTTGTATCCCAACCAAATATTAGATTAAAGAAATTAATGATTAAACAATTTGAAAACTGACAACCATTTGCTGATTCTTTTTAAAACATATATTAAATGAACTGACTCTTCCTGTTGTTTCTTAAGCAGTCTGGTCTGGGTTAACGTAAAAAAAATTTTTTATGACTTAAAGGAAAAGTGTATCTGCACACGTACACATGGATGGCATTCCTGTCTGCCTTTTGTGCATGACCACTGGCGTGTGTCACTGCCAGTTCTGCCCTTTCTGAGTGCTGTTCACTTTCAATCATCAACCTGCACTGATGGAGCCTTCTGCAAAAGAAAATAAATGAATCACTTCATTTTCCATTCACAGGATCAAGCACTCTTTTCTCGCTTCTCTGACGCTGACTACGGTGCCCTTACACCAATTAGCCTTTTCAGCAAACTATCGAGCAATAAGCCTCTTATTTTAAAACTTAAGTGTAAGTATAAACATCTGGTGTGAACAATGAAGCTTAAGGAAGTTCCGGTCAGCCGAACCCTTTAATGCAAACCCACAGAAGCAGAAGAACAGAAAGAACCGTAACACCAGAGAATGTGTCCCATTTACTCAGGGGGGCATCATGACAGTTTCTTTCATCTTATTGTGCTGTGTGGAAAAGGACACATTTTTCATGGTCACTAAAGAACACATGATTTAGTGACAAAAAACAAACAAACAGATTTTGCAATGCCCTTTGGCTGTTTATTTTTATTCACAATGAGATGCAAGCACATTATTTTGCAACTTTCTCGGGTTAATGGCTGAAATTTAATTTCCTTAATCACCAAGGTGATAGATATGTCCTTTTAATCTTTTCTGCTTAAAGAATGTCGCTCAGATGTGCAAATGTATTGTGACTCGTTAAAGCTTATGATGTTGAGTGGGTGTGGACACAGTCCCGCAGATCCATACACACTGAGACCAAATACAGTAGATGGCTGTTTAGTGGCCATTGTGGCTAAATGTCAGTGTACCCCACAGGCGCAAATGAAAGCTGCTGAGCGCGTGGTGGTGCACACTAATTTGGTTAATGATTAGCAATCACTCAGTCTCTGCAGTGCAGGGAGGCTCAAAAGAAACTTGAAAAACTCTGCTTTGCCCTGATGTTTCTAACCGCAAAAACGTGTATTATGAGATGAGCAAAACATTACTAAAAACAGTAAAATGAATTCACTGGTTTCCTGCCTAGAATGTGCCAGTCACAGGATGGAAATACACATTTAAACCTTTTAATTACGTACTCCCAGGTGCATCAGTGGTAATGATATTAATGGTAATTTTGTTAAAATCACGTGAATATCTCACATTGGCTTTGCGCTTCCAAACGTTTATGTGAAACTCTTTCCTCGTTTTGTTTTCTTTGCGTTTGTTTCACCGTAAAACCTCTACCCAGTCTTTACCCCACCCTGTACAGTTTGCCGTTCTAGTAAAAACAGAACCAGGTTTTCTTTGAGTCATTATAAAACGTAAGACACGAAGCACCCGAGCACGCACGGCTTAAATTGTGTTTTCTTTCTCAGTCTGTTTCAACTAACTCGAGCTCTGGTGCACAAATTAACGAGGACCAGATTAAAAATAAATAAATAAATAAATATATTTTATTGTCATTTGTAAATACTGTGTGGATGGTGCGTAAAGGAGTGATGGGAATAGCATGTTTTAAATTAATGTAAGTGCGTAAGGACGCGTGGAGCACGATATCCTTTGCGCACTGCCGCGCACTTGGCATATTATTAAACTTAAACATTGATCCTACCCTCACGGGGGGCTGCTGGATCCCACGCAGACCACATCTGAACTGAGAAAAAGGGGGTCCAGCAGACGATGTAAGCCACCACGATCACAAAAGTCATCTTCACTGTCGTGATCTTCGCCTTGGAGATGAGCTTTACGCTGCTTACACGGGCCAGTGTGTTGCTTTTGGTGGTTTTAGGCGTCAGGTTTATGCACTGCTCCCGTCTGGTTTTCAGTTTAAAGTTTTGCCATATTTTAAAGCTTATCAACCCATAACAAATGCTCAGTATGGCCACTGGAATTATGTATATGGTAAGGCTGATCCATGTGATGTAAGCTTTGGCTCCCCAAGGTTTCACGAAGTCGCCCCAGCAGTCATACACCCCTGATCCGGCCGAGCCAACCTCCCTCAGGGAAAAGATGAACATCTGGGGGATACTGAAGAGCAGACTCAGGATCCAGGAAAATATGACATATAAACGGTCTTTTCTCCTGTGCAAAGAACGGAGGGGCTGGCAAATTGCCAAACACCTGTCTATAGACATCAAAACTAACATATAAGTGGAGGCGAACATCCCAACGACCTGCAGGTATTTCACCAACCGGCACAAGATGTCTGGTCCATAGAACCGAAATGTAATGTCCCAGATAAGTTGAGGGAGAACTTGAAATATCGCCACAACCAGATCGGCGATGCTCAGGTGTTTCATAAAATAATACATACGAGACTGGCTGTGTTTGGTTGTGTGGATAGCCAACAGGACGCACAGGTTACCCGCGAGCGCCAGAAAGAGGACCAAGGCGAGCACAGTCACCTCCACCCTCGCCACTTCTTCATTCCGCTTCAAGGGGTTTGTCTGATTCAAACCACCGGTTCCGTTAATGAGACTCGAGTTCCTCCAAGATTCATTGAATTGCCAAATGTCACTTTCATTTGAAATACTTTCCATTGCTGCAGTCTCGTCCTCCGCAGATGCGACAGGGTTGTGCAGTCATGCAATAGCTGAAAGAGTCACCTGGAGGGTCTTTAAGTCTTCCGTGCGTCCTCACCAGTGGCAAGACATAACCCTGCTCAAAAATGTTTCCTTAATAATAAAGAAAGGAACTCGTTCTTTGAATCTCAATCACCCATACCTTTTCCCCTCTGAAAGCAGGATGTGAGTGTGAGAGGGAAGCAAATGTTTCCACTTATCTAAATCATATAGAACAGTTCACAAAAAGTCCATTGAAAAAGAAACGTTAGCTGAAGAAGGGAATAGTAGCGACCAACAACAGGATCTAAAATATAAGGATCTCACTGGTCAAGGTAACATCCCAAAACAAAAATCATTCTTTCTCAATTAAGAGGCTGTGGTCTTGAAAATATACATTCATCTGTTTTCAAAATTAAGATTAAGGTTTGCAAATTAAAATGTTACAGAGAGGGGCGAAAAGCTATAGAAATGGAAAGCTCCACCATGATCTGTGGTAAGAATCCGAATGACCGGCACTACAGCATAAGCCCCTATAAGATCCCCAGTTCAGTAAAAACAGACAACAGCCTTACTCATCACCAACACTACCACTAGGTGGCTATATGCACTATTCAGTAGTAACGTCGATGGTGTTTGCAGCTCGGAGGACCAACTCTCCTCCAGATCTGCAATAAATCACGGAGCTCATTTTATAACCAACCAGCCTCATTGATGAAGATTGTTTGTTGTCAGATTTAATATCAAGAAAGCTATGAAGAAAACACTAGCTCTAAACTGAAGTCTGATATAGAAGATATATTAAGCTGTTTTCATATTTTGAAACCGCCTGGGAAGTCAGAGTGAAATATGTTTTTATTCTGCTGGAGACCTGAAGGGATCCTGACGTCAAGACACCCAGAGTCAAATTTTGGAACAGCTAGAAAAGTAAACATGTGTTTAATAAACACAAGCTCATTCACAGGCTAAATGTGAGTGCAGGCACATACGGGTGAATAACTTTAAAAAAAATTGTACCATAAAACACATTTGTATAACTTAAAATCAGAAACGTGTTGATTGTACGTATGAAATGACATTTAAAAAAGAAAAAGAAAGCAATTCATTTTTATAAGGCACGCCATAAATGGTAATGATTCAGTCTTGTGACATCATCTTCGCCCTTTGAAGCTGATCTGGCTATGAATGGGAGGAAATGCTGGCTGGCATATGAAATGTCTGAAGCACAAGCTGTTTAGGAGAGGCACTGAGACCTGACAAAGAGCTATTCTTAAAGGCACCTTGGTGCTCTCAGCATATGCTTTTTATTGGCTGAATCAAAAGGCATCTTAGACCAGATGCATGACTCGGCTGCTTTAAGTTTTGGAAATGTCTTCCTGATTTTCTAAGGGTCACTTTAAACTGTCCAGTAGGACAAGAATAACACTGGTTTTGCTTATGTGACCAGCATTCTTCTTCTTTTATTCTTCTTTCTATAATCATACATGTATATATATATATATATATATGTATGTGGGTATATATAATAAAGGAAGACAGAATGATGACCCCGCACACATGGGGATAAGTGTGAGGGACCAAGCAGCCAAAGCAAAGAGGACACAGGCAAAAAAGTATCTTCAAAAAGGGTTTTCTTTATTTTAACCCTCACAAAGTCCAAAATTAACAACATTCAAAAACATACTTAGCAGGCCCATAAAAGAGGTCAACTAAATATAACTCCACGAAAAGTAATTTCCAGAAACTTAAACAAAACAAAGTGAGACACAACTTAACTCACAAACTGACCTAATCACAAAGACACATGAGGGTAGCTTTTATAATGATTTGGCCAAACCATTTACACACAATTGGGGGGGAAACAAAAACACACACTAATATTAACTAAGCACAGAATAACCTAACTAAACCTAAAACACCCCTGCTCCTGGTAAGCCCATGGTTGGTCCTGCTGAGCAGGCATTTTGTTCCCAGAGTCCTCAGCCACACCTTTTGCCCAGACAGGAAACAGCCACCGCCCAAACCCAGGTAACTCAAAGAAAGAGAAACATAATTAATATAACAAAACATTTTAGAAAAACCACACAATGCTACCATGTGCACACCTCATAATATCAGTGTTAGGTTTAACCAAATGATTAATGAATTATATTAATGAAGAAAACTGCAAAGCAAACTAATAAGGTGAAAAAATGGACTGATTTACCCCTGTGTGGCTGCTGCCATCACAAGAAGACATTTGCCTTTAAAATGTTCATATCCATGTGTTACATTGGCCTGATTCCTCTGTACATATACTTCTTTTTTTTCTTCCTACATGTGCTGCCAAGAGCAGCACTGCACTGGGATTTAGGGATTCAAATGACAAAGGTGATTAATACTACTTAAGCGTGAAGGGTGTTGCGCAAGTCCTACATCAACATGAAAACTGTTATAGATTAATTTGGAGAGTTAGTGCAGAAATGAAAGGACAAAAAAAGAAAAGAAAACACAGAAGGATTTGTGCTAAGCATCATGTGAAATACTAAATAATGTGTGCCACTCTCTCAGTGATAGAGAAATAATATACACCATTAAGCATGTGAAACCGACAGAGTGTAGATGATTACACTTAATGAGTCCTGAGGTTTGCTTTTTTCATGACCACATTAAAAAAAAAAACATATGAAAATGCTCTTATGTGATTTATTTGATAGAGTTTATTGAAAAATAGGATTTGTCTGCTACTGCACGCTGTTTACATTTCCAACAACACAGCCTTGAAAGCCTTGTGGGAAAATATATCTATGCCACAGGGTCCTTCCCACTTTTGTGGTTTTTGGTTTGGAAAAAGGCAGAAGCACCCCGGAGTTTGAAAGCAGTTATGTAAAAAAAAAAGATGGCTTAGCAGCGACTGTAAATTAAGAAGATAAAGAAGAAAAGAAGGGTAACGATGAATTGAATCTACTGTGCAATCTGCAGTGAAAATATTTAATGTGGTTGTTAACTAGATCTCTGGGGAGATGCATAGAGTGAGTCAGCAAGTAATGAAACAGGGGAGGTCTGAAAATAACAGAATAGCAAGAGAAATTGTCCCAATATAGCAGAAGTGAAAATGGAAAAGTTTAGTACATCCAGTACGTCACGATCTGCAGCTCTGCAGAAAGTTTGATGAGTGCTAAAACGTTTCATGGAAGAAGATGTGGAATAAAGTGAGAAATGTTTGCAAAATGGTTCTGAAAATGAAAAGCACATCCCTAGTTCATCAGGGCTGCGAAGCTTTAAGGGGAGGGTTTGTCAGAGGTTGTGTCTCGATGCTATCTGACAACAGAGAAAGGCTGAAGCCACACTGCCAAGTCTGGGCCTTATAAGTGAGTTACGGAAAAGGCAGACGATGTAAAAGATATTTGTGCAAACAGACGTATGTAGAGGAGTAATCTTAGCTTCAGGGATGTGTTAAATAAATCCAGTACACCCAAAAAGTTATTCCATTTAAAAGCCATTGCCATAGTAACAATGACAAATGCAGATTTTAACCCCTTAACAACTAGTGTATCATATTTCATACATGAGTATTTGAGTCTTCTACATCACCAGTGTGGACCTTTAAAACCTAAATAATTAGCAAAATATATCATTTGAAACCAATAAATTGGAAAAAAGGCACAAAAAAGAAAGGAAATATATGCAAATTAAAACTCATATATACAAAATGATATTTAATTTATTAAAAAAAACACCAGAAGATTCAATAAACACTCAATTTTCAACAAACTGGGGCAAAATAAATAAGATAAAATACATTTCTGTTATGTTTCGGTCTGCAGGTAGAGGTGCTCATTCTGAGAGCAGATTGGTCCTCATCAGGACGTATTAACAAAAACATGTTCTGGCTAGTGTCTATTGAAGCAACTGTGGTGTAGCATGAAATAATAAAACCCTGCAAGTCGTAAAGCGAGCCAACCTTACTGTACACCTTTGTGTTTGCAGAATAACTGTTATAACAAATTATTTTCTTATTATGCGTCAATGTCTGTAGCTCCGTAATGCTTGTAACTTAAACTTAAAATACAAAAAAAAAAATGTTTCAATGGTATTTTCTCTTTGTTTTCAAAGGGCAGGGCACGAGGGCAGCCTAATATGCTGTTAATTCTGTTATATGCTCAGGTGACATGAAGCCTTTTGATGTGAGGAAGAAGCACAGATTCAGTCTGAGCTGCAGGCTGCCTGAAGAACACAGCTTCATGTTGTGCATCTATTAAAGGCGAGGCCACTGAAATGTGACACTGGTATTTTGTGCGGTTTATTCGTTGATCGTGTTTTAGCATTTAATTTGTGTAGTTTGGGTCAAAAGTAGAAAAAAAATCAAGCAACAAATCATCAAAGTGGTGCTTATGGGTTGAACTAGGTGTGAATAATTGTGAATTCATTTCGAGTGCTAAGCAGCAGGAAGTGTGGTTCGAAGTTGGTGCTTGATTGATTGTTTGAAAAGGAAAGAAGGCTGCAGCAGTTAGAGGCTTGTGTGACAAAGCAGAGAGCAGAGTGTTAGACGGATCTTTCCTCCCATGAAGAGAGAAAAATTGACAAGGCTCAGAGTCCAGGTTCCTTGTGGTGAGGACAGAGCGTCATGGAAACATTAGGAAAGTAAGAAAGATTACAGATGGAAAATATGATGGTCTAGAATTTCCTGATATTAGCAACGTTAAAGGAGAAAATTCATTGGAAACTATTGGAGGGGATTTGCATAAGGACTTACCCGTGTCTGGGTGATGAAGGAGAACAGGATGGCAAATTAAGTCTGCATATGTACAATGTTATAATTCAAAAAGACTCAGCTCAGAGGCAAATTACAGCCGACTGGTCTACAGAGAATACCGTATAATAAAAGGTCTTCACATAGTCTAACTGCAGTGATTTCATTTGCAGACATTTATTGCATCACAAGCAGGAGTAAAATAAAATAATGTTCCCCAGTACAGCACTCCATTTATGACCTCACTAATACACACTATTGTTTAAAAATCTGAACATTATAAACCGTGTTAAGACAACATTTGTGAATGTGCTATTGTACTGACTATATTGCTCAGGTTTTCCTAATAATGTACAGCGCTTTACAAAAGTCTCAATATTTGCTATGACCACTTTTTTTTTCTTTAACACCTTTGAACTTGAACTCTCTTGTTATTTCTTTAAATAGTCTTCAGGAATAGTTCAGCAGGCTTCTTGAACGGCATCCAACGCTCTTTTTTTTGGATGCTGGCTGCCTTTTGTTCTGTTCTCTTTCAAGATGATCCCACACTGCTTCAATAATGTTGAAATTAGGACTCTGTGGAGGCCAATCCATGACTGATAGTACTCCACTGTGTGTTTTTCTACCCAGGTATGCTTGTACTGCACTGGCAGTTTGTTTGAGATCATTGTCATGGTAAAAAATTAAGCCACTGCCAATCAGATGTTTCCTAATTCCATCAGTTTTGGCAAGCTCTCCAACACCACTGGCTGAAACGCAGTTCTCAACCATGACCACGAGTCTCCACCATGTTTACAGATGGCTGTAGACCAGGGATGTCAAACTCATTTTACATCGTGGGCCACATACAGCTCACTTTGTTTTCAAATGGGCCAGAATGGAGAAAAGCA